ACGGCTCGGCTCGCTCTCCGTGTTTGTGTTTATGTGTGTGTTTTACTAACTGTGGACAGCATGAACATGGATCACGGGCTCCGGCGGCCTGAGCTCATGCATGACCGAGAGGACGTGTTTCTGAAAGCACAGCGATGCTGAACCGAGCTGCTGGATCTGCTTTCATTGGTGGTTTGTGGTTAGGGACTGTTCTATATTTCTGTCAACAGATTTGTATAACATGAAGAGATCATTTAGACAACAAAGTTAAAACTAACCTTATTTAATAGTCTTAATAAAAGTTTCTGCACTTATTGTGCTTAATTCATCTGTGCACGGTTGACTTGAAAGTTTTTGGTACAATGCAAGCACACAATGCATTACAAATATAGTCTGGAAATCTTTGAAGGCTATAGATAGATATTTACCAAAAATATATATATTTCTCCCATACATACAGTTGAAAAATTTTACTGCAATGCAATTTACAGAAATGGTCAACTCCTTAACCTCATAATCTCTCTGTCCATATGTCAAGTATTTTAATCCAGTAATTCAACATTATTCCTGAAAATACAACTGGCACTGTGCAAGTTTACAGTACATAAGTAAGCCACACTTTCCTGGACTCGTGTTGCAGACAGACGGTCACATAACATCTCTGCAGAATTCACTGAGAACAAATTAACATGCATGTGCAACGTGAAACTAATCAAGAGGAACTAAATCAAGACTGCACCACAATCACACTGAATCATATTGCATTCAAAAATTAAACTGCAAATTCAGTTTTCATTTGTGTTTACTAGTTGTGCATGCACATGATTAAAATCTTTAGAAATGAAATGCATTCACTACAACTGATACTCCTCTCTGATATCGACTCATTAAGAGTGTTTCCATTCTTGTGTCACAACAGCAAGATCTCTTTCAATGTCAATTTCACATTGATCAACACTGACAGAACTACACTGGTATTTCTATACAGTTCTCATTTTAAAATATTCTTTTCACACTGTAAAGTCACAGCAATTAAAAAATGATGTTCAAATAGTGGTGTAGACATGATCTGAAGAGATGAAGCACACTGCAGGATAAAGCACACTGAACTTTAATACTTAGATTTAGAGGTTTCATTACATTTCTCAGAGCACTAGTACTAGTGATAACTGCCTTAGCAAACACTACTGATAAATGCCTATTATGACCATGCTAAATTTTGCATGATTTTGCCTCCAGGTTTGATGCAAACTGCTCATACAGAGAGTCTGTAAAAGGCAAGATTCCCCTGTGCGTTTCCATAATTGAAAGTGAACTTAAGTCTCATTTCCCTTTAAAAACTCCCTTCTTGATCTCATCCACAGTCGGTTAAAATCATACTTAGCCATTTCAACAGCGTTTAAAGATTAACTTCAAATCACCAGCGAGAGCCTGTTACAGAATTAAAGTTCAATCCAGGCCACAACGGCTGGGGAAATTCTGTCTCAGAAACGAACAGCTTCACCTGCCTTTGAATATTTCAGACTCAGTGTGTAAGAAACAACGAACAGCCAAAATTACACTAAACATCAGCGGTTATTCACATGAAAACATGTACAGCCCATATTTCACCCCAACATAAGAGAAAAATAATGTATACTTAAAGAAATTAAAGTCTATTTTATGACAATTATTTACTTTTGGCTATAGCCTTCCTGCAGCTCAAACAGTAGAGCATGCCGCTAGCAACGCCAAGGTCATGGGTTTGATTGCCAGGTAATGCATGAACTGATCAAACTGTATGAATGCATGAATTGTAGGAATGCATAAATGCAAAGCATCTGCCAATTGCATGAATAAAAATGTAATGTAACTGGCATCTGTGTAATCCCATGGACTCTTATTCTGACGGCACCCATTCACTGCAGAGCATCCATTGCTGAGACACTGATGCAATGCTACATTTCTCCAAATCTGATGAAGAAACAAACCCATCTATATATTGCATGGCCTGAGGGTGCATACATTTTCAGCAAATGTACATTTTGGGAGAACTATTCCTTTAAAGCAGTACAACAAATAATTAACAACTTTGCTCGACAGTAATGAGAATGGTGTGTCAAATGTGCACAACGCAAAGGAAAATGCAATGGTCCTAAAAATAGGCATCATTTTCTTATTTCTTCTTTCTCTCTTCTGGTTTTGAGGTGAAATGTGACCAGAACCTGTTCTTGACAGGTTTCCTGAGATTCAGCCAGTTAAACCACATGACACCCGTGTTTATGAAACATCAGATTACTGAGCAGGTTCTCAGAAAAACAACAACAAAAAGACCCACATGATGACTGAACTACTCGGAAATAATCCTCTCTCACATGCATCTCTACACCTGATCAGAGAACTCCCAAACCGCATGGTTCCTCAGAACACAATGCAGTCTCTCACCACTGCTGCACCAGCATGTTCACATGCATTTGTAAAAAAAACCACCTGCACAAAACTGCACCAGTTTAGAAAAGATCTTCCAGGGTTCATCACATCCTTCTACAAACCCACCAGATCACTTCAACCCATAATAAACCAAAACATGTTCTTTCTCCACTGCTGGAAACAAACCTCTAATTTGGTCGGTTTAACCTAATAAGCGGTGATGTGACCTAGTGGTTAAAAATCTGCGACCAGTTGCATAAACCCAGCCACTATGCTTTAGGAACTAGTCTGACCAACTAGCAGTTAGTCAAGGTGTGATCTTTACTTTTCGGATTCAAATAAGGCCAATCTACATGTTTATGTAACTGAATGTTAAGACCAGTTATAAAGAAAAAAAATTAGATGTCTACCTTGGTTATTTATTATGCAACCGGACACTGGGATGGTAACTAAAAGGTTGAAGGTCACCAGATTGCTTCAACTGTAATAAACCAAAACATCTTTCTCCACTGGGTAAAAACAAACCACTAGTTTGGTCGGTTTAACCTAATAGGTGGTGGTGTGATCTAGTGGTTAAAGATCTGGGCTGTAACTAAAGAAGGTTGAAGGTTCAAACTCCATAAGCATTGATCCATTAACTATCAGGCATATGGGTAGTTGACAAATAAAAAACAAGAGTTTGACACTTAACCTTAACACCTCTCAAACCTATATATACACATTCACTTATATATTTGCATTGATATTAATATAAAATGTTGATGTGAAACTTCATGGGCACGATATGCGTCAACTACCCATATAAATATACAAGTGTTAAAACTGGATAAGAAAATCAAAAACAACAACCTGTGTACAGGTCAGTTTATCAGAATAGGTAGGTAGGTAGCCTATCGATCTGGTTTAACCAGCTGGTTAATGACACTGAAATTGGTTGTTGGTTGATACTCAGGTGGACTAACTAGAACCTGTAACTAGAAAACTTTTAGTCACTTTCCACTAAATTAAAAGGTTGAAAGTTCAAACTACACAAGCGTTGATTCTTTAACTATTACCACTGAGACCTTGAACATGACATAAATGGGTAGTTTACAAATAACAAACATAAACATGAGATTGACATTCAACCTACTTAACCTCTCAAACTTCAATATACACATTTGCATTCATATTAATATAAAAATGTTGATGTGAAACTTTATGGGCATGATATGCGTCAACTACCCATATAATTACTCAAGAATTAACACAGGTTAAATATATCATATCAACAACCAATTACACTGTATGAATCCGTTTATCATAACAGGTGGGTATAGATCTGGTTTAACCAGCTGGTTAAAGACACTGAAATTGGTAGTTGCTTAGGTGGACTAGAACCTGTAACTAGAAAACTAATAGTCAAGTTTTCCTCTAAACTAAAACACTGAAGGTTCAAACTTCACAAGGGTTGATCCATTAACTATCATAAGATGAGTAGTTGACAAATAACAAGTGTGAGCTTGACACGTAACCCCTTTAACCTCTCAAACTTATATATATATATATATATATACACATTTACATAAACATTTGCATTGATATTAACATTAAAGTGTTGATGTGAAATTTCAAGGCCATGATATAACAGGCTTTCTTGCATATTTATATGGGTAGTTCACACATATCAACTACCAATGACAGTACATTGTGCATGGGTCAGTTTATCATAACAGGTGGGTACAGATCTGGTTTAACCAAATGGTTAAAGACACTAAAACAGGTTGTTGCTAGAACCTGTAACTAAAAACCGCTTGCTGTAAACTAGAAGGTTGAAGGTTCAAACTCCACAAGGGTTGATCCATTAACTATCACCACTGTAACCTTGATCATGACATAAGATGGGTACTTGACAAACAGGAGATTGACGTGTGTGTGTGTGTGTGTGTGTGTGTGTGTGTGAGAGAGAGAGAGAGGGTAGAGCAATCCATTGTGCAGGCGGTTTAAAACTTCACATTAGAGTGTGAGTGTGTGTGAGAGAGAGAGTGTGTGTGTGTATTTTTATGTTAATAAACATTTGCATTGATATTAACATAAAAATGTGAATTGCATATTTATATGGGTAGTTAACACACATCAACTACCAATGACAGTTTGTGCAGTGTGTATGGGTAAGTTTATCATAACAGGTGGGTAGCCTAAGCCTATAGAACTGTTTTAACGAGCTGGTTAAAGGCACTAAAACAGGTTGTTGCTAGAACCTGTAACTAGAAAACTATTAGTCAAGTTTTCCTCTAAACTAGAACACTGAAGGTTCAAACTTCACAAGGGTTGATCCATTAACTATCATAAGATGAGTAGTTGACAAATAACAAGTGTGAGCTTGACATTTAACCCCTTTAATCTCTCAAACTTATATATACACATATTTACATAAACATGCGCATTGATATGAACATTAAAAAGTGAATGCATATTTACATGGGTAGGTGACACATCAACTAAGTTACCAATGAGAGTTAGTACACTGTGACTGGGTAGTTTTATCATAACAGGCGGGTACAGATCTGGTTTAACACTGAAACTAGTTGTTGCTCGGGTGGACTAGAACCTGTAACTGATCAAACTCTTACCTCCGAAGAGATGAGGCGACAGGTGAGCCGGCAACGATCCGATCAACAGTCTCGGAGCGCCGGCGGACCGCTCTCTCTCCCCGCCGTTCTCCTCCGGTGTGCTGTAACCGGACTCCTGAGAACTGTACGCTACCGAGTTCGGTATAGTAATGCTCGACTGTGGTCGCCTGGAGCCGGTAAAGTGCGCGGCGGCCGCCGCTGACGACGATGAAGATGTAGCACCTGAGGCGCCGTGTGCGTGATACCGCATCGCCACAGCCGCCGTCCTGCCGCCGCCGCCGCCGTTACTCGACGGGAGATCCGAGCCCGAGTACGCTCGCGTGCGCCCGTCGGCAGCGGGACTGCTCTGTTTGGCCCCCATGCCAACCTACACTTCCCTCCGAGTTTAACGATTAAGGACAAACAATCAAACACACGCACACTGACAGCGAACGGGAAGCGTCGCCCGTTACATCTGACGTCACGCGCGCGTCAGCGAATCTTTTTGCGAGGGGGTTTAAAATTTAAATCGCCGTCGGCGCGGAAAAGTGAAGCTCTGACGCGACGCTCTCCTCGTAAACCGCGCACTGACTGCTGCTGTGCCCACGGCGGGCGGTTATTACCAGGGTTGCCAGGTTTTCACAACAAAACCCGCCCAATTGCTCCTGGAGTGGGGGGGGGTTTAACCGGAACAAATCTCGTTCCGGCGGGTAAAATACACGTTTTTTTTGGCGGGGTTCCCCTGGTAAAATTCGCATTCATGTTATTAGGGTCGCTTCAACCCGCGGACATGAAAAACAACCCGCAGAAACAGTGTTAAAGTATCCCAGTTCAGCGGGAAAACCGCGGACCTGGCAACACTGGAACTCAACGTGTTTAACTGCCGTACGTGCAGAGTGCGAAAGCGAGTCGGGGGCGGGGCTTGCCGGTGACGTCATAACCCCGGGAAATAAACCCTGGCTGCGTGCTTGTCTGCTTTTGTTGTTGTGGCTTATGAGACACTTACATTTGACACTTGCATTTGTCTCGTTATTTCCGTTTAAAACCCAATTTTATGACTGTATTACCAACACTATTACCAATACACATAATAAAATAAAAATAACGTAAATTATAAATGTTTTGCTTGTTTGAGATTACTGAGATATGACTTTAAAACTTTTTTTAATTTTTTTTTTACATTTTTGAAAAAGGTTTGTTGGCTCAGTAAGATAGAGATATACAATAGTTTCTTCCCATCATCTGACAAAGTGATTGCATTCTGTTGAGAGATTACAAAGACATGGCATGCATTGATGAAGTATTCACAATAAGACCAGGAACCTTAAAGGAATTGTTCACCCAAAAATTAAAGCACTGCATCAGTGTCTCAGCAATGGATGCTCTGCAGTGAATGGGTGCCGTCAGAATGAGAGCTGATAAAAACATCACAATAATCCACAAGTAATCCACAGCACTCCAGTCCATCAGTTAACATCTGGAGAAGACAAAAGCTGAAACAAATCCAGCATTAAGACGTTTTTAACTCAAACACGAGTTCATAATCCATAATAACGCTTCCTCCAGTGAAAAAGGTGTTCTGGTGTGAATCAGGAGAGAAATCTGCAGATTAAGTACATCGACACAGATTTCTGAATTGGCAACTGTTGTGTGTGAAAATAACGTGACTTTCAGAATCAGATTATTAATAATCTGCCAGATATAAGACCAGGTTTTATAGACAAATGTAAATGTAAAACACAGATGCATGTATCTCTCATTTCATTTGAAGCCAGTCATGATCACAACAGCTGTACTGTTTATCCATCGGTGCATCTGTTGTCTTATTATTGTTTCCTGCACAAAGAAACTTACTGAAAACACACAACACTCATCGAGCACGTGAAATAAAAACCGTGAACCTTCAACTTTTCCATTCTGTCGTTCTGC